TGATTTTTGTGGTGGTGATTTTGGTCCATTATACGGGGTTCGTTACACTTATAGTCCAGTAGATTGTTTCTGTCTGGCAGATCTTTTCTATCTAGTGTTGGCTATTGTTAGAATTTTAACATTGCTTGAGGCCCGGTCTGGTCTACTCTGGCTCATAACCTGGTTCGGACCAGATCAGACCAGTCTCAGCTGTTCACAACGAGCGATCCCAGACTCAGCACCCGATAAGGAGTCATCTTTTTCGTTTTACTTGCTTTGAACACTTAGAGTTGCATATCACCCTATTACGCTGGTGAAGATTCTCAGTCATCCAGGACATGATCAATTCAAAAAACATTCAATACAAAAACAACTGGACTTTATTTGTAACAGAAGACGTTTTGCTCCTCATCCAAGGAGCTTTCTCAATTCAAAGAGCAGTGAGTGTGGGGTTCAGGTTATAAGGCTGAGATAAGATACATATACATATGTAGATTGACATGTCACACCTCACACCTTAACAGTAGGGGTTTCTTAAGATCTTTGTTCCTCTAATTCACAGCCGAGGCCCCTCTGTTCCCATCAGGTGTGAAAACGGGCTGGAAATCAGTCTTAAAGTTGCATTATAAGTTTTTGAAAGTTGAAATCTCTGGCCTCTTCCTCTGTTAAGAGATGGTTTCTCTCTTTTAACATAAATTACTTCCTTCACCCCCCTCTCAGTCCAAAATGTGCACATTTTGGTCCTCAAATGAGTGTCTCTTATCCGTGAGGTGGAGGTGAACAGCTGAGTCTTGTCCAGAGGAGGTGGCTCTCCTGTGTTGAGCCATGCGTCTGTGAAGAGGCTGTTTAGTTTCCCCAGAGGTCCAGACCTCTGCATTGGGTCCCACCGGAACCGGCCTAAATAAGGCACAATAGGGTCCTACATGAACCGGACCTGTGGATAAGGGGCTTAAGGCAATTTAGAAAACTAAAAAACTAAAAACGCTGGTTACATACAAGAACCCCAGATTCTATGAGTATAGGCACAGCCCTTTAAGGCTATCGCTAGTGGGTGTATCCCTACAGCACTGAAAACTTTAGTCCATGCCCACCTACTGTGTGGGCCTCATCCCCGGTCCGTATAAATTACGTTGAGACCGGGTAATTGGCTCCCAAATAGCTTTTTTATTCAGCCATTGAGGAACCAGTGAGGCCCAGAGCTTAAAAGGCTGCGCCTATACTCATAGAATCTGGGGTTACAGTACGTAACCAACGTTCTATTTCGTATAGGCTTCGCCCTTTAAGGCTATCGCTAGTGGGTTATAGGCGAAGCAGGATGTAGTCTATGCCTCACTGGGTCCACTCAGACACAACATAAAGCACATGCTTGCACAAAAAAATTTCATCACTCAGTCTTCTGTGTGCGTAATTACGCGCTGCGTAATTGCATGCTCCATGCGCAGGAACGCACCGGAGTAAAGATCTCTGGTGAGGAAAAAAAAGGCTGAGATAGCAGACCTGCTGCTGTGAATAGGAACAACGGAGGATAGGAATTGTAACAGTGTAACGATGAACAGAGCAGACCAACAGCTCCTCAGGATGAACCGATTAATAACGATAAAATCAGCAGTCATGAACTTGTGACTGATAATAAATGTCTCACACTGCGACTGCATGCAGGCAGGTGTGAGCTCAACAGTGAGGCTCCATGAAACAAATAATCATTCTGTCAGAACCCTGAGAACAGAATGGGTCATGGAGAAAGTAGAAACATCACGTAGATAAAACGAATAATTGAACATGGCGATTACCAGGCAGCCGCCATACAAATGTCCTCCCCTGTCTTCCCTCCATGCAGAGCCATGGAGGATGAAAACCCTCTGGTGGAATGCGCTGAGATTCTCTGGAGGATCCAGTCCAGATGAACTGTAAGCTTCAGAAATAGCCTCACACAGCCAGTGTGAGAGGTGCTGGGTGGATAGAGAACGTCCTGAAGAGCTGTCCCAGTAATGCACGAACAGAGGCTGAAAGCGGCGCAGTGCGGCAGTGTGCGCCACGTAACATGAAAAATGTGCGCATGGGACAGAAGGAGGTGAGATGTTGCTTCCTCCTCAGAATTATGAGGAAGAGGATAAGACCCATCCAAG